GTACATATATTAACTGTTAGATGTATGGCTAATAGGATTGCATGAACAAGATCAAATTAATCGTTAGATCACTAACCTCAAGACAATATAACTGGAAAAAAAAACACTTATCACACTTGCATCCCTAGGGTATTCCTCACTCGGTTGCCTCGGAAATGGTCATGTCCCTCGAACGTAGGGATATCTTAGCAAAGACTCGCGGTATAAGAGTTATCATAAAAGATCATGGTCCCTAAACGTCCCTCGAGTTTCCTTTCGGTAAATGATCTTGTCCCTCGATGTTTCCTATATGATGACAGTCCCTTCGAATGCTAAGATATCCTTACCTGTTGCCTTCAATGACCATAGCGTCCCTATCGATAGTCCCTCAACATTCAACGATAGGGCTAACTACTCACTAATAGTAGGATATCTCTATCTAAAGGAAAGGAGGAAAAGAACGTCTTTTTTCGAGTAGGTAGATGACTTTTAAGTACTTGCTCAAAAACAAACTTTCACACTTACACACTTTTCAAAATACTTTTCAAATACGCTTTATCACACTCTTGAGGACTGATACAAGAGTTACCATAAAGAAAACAAAAAATTTCAAAACCACAAACACACAAACAGTTTTCAAAAATGAGCAAGTACCTAAGAGCCCGTGGAAAACCACGGATGGAAAGGGTGCTAATACCTTCCCTTTCCATAATCTACCCCCTTACTCAGAAACATCTCGAAAAAGGTTTTTTCTGTTCTTTTCCCTTTTCCTTTGTTGGATAAAATAAAAGTGGGTGGTGACTCTTGCTTACCACAACATTTGCGAACAAAAAATGCAAACCAGTATTAACAGCCAGTTCTGCCACCGTATCACAAATTCCATCTTGCTCAACAATCTTCTCAGCCATATTGCATGGCATACACACCAGGATGTTGTTACATACTCTGCTTCACAGGTCGAAAGAGTTCCAGTAGGTTGTTTCCTTGACAGCCAGATGAAAGCAGTGTTTCCCATGAAGAATACATATCCTGAAGTGCTCTTTCGATCATCAATGTCACCACACCAATCGCTGTCAGAGTAGCCAGTCAGCTTTTATTCTTCGAATTTCGAATAAAATATTCTAAGTGACACAATTCCTTGGACATATCGAAGGATTCTCTTCAGAGCTTTCCAGTGTGCAACAACTGGTTCTTCCATGAAATGACTCATAATTCCAACACTCAAAGAAAGATCTGGCCTTGTGCATGTGAGGTATCGAAGACTTCCCACCAAGCTTCGAAATTTGTTTGCTTCGACACGCTCTCCACCATCAAATTTCGAAAGCTTTGCTCCTAGCTCCATTGGTGTCGAAATGGGATTTCAGCTATCCATCTTAAATCTTTTCAGGATATCTTTTGCATATTTTTCTTGTGAGATGAGGATTCCCATTTCTTCTTGTTGAACCTTCAGACCAAGAAAGTAATTCATTAGGACTAAGTCAGTCATCTCAAATTCTTGTGTCATTGTGCCTTTGAACTCTTCGATCGTCTGATTATTGTTGCCCAAGAAAATTAAATCATCAACATAGAGAGAGCAACAAGCAATATTTTCTCTTTTTTCTTCTTCACATACAAGGCATGCTCGAAGGGACATTGCTGAAATCCATTTTCTTTGAAGTATGTGTCAATTCGAGTATTCCATGCTCGTGGTGCCTGCTTCAGCCCATAAAGTGCCTTCTTTAGCTTTAGCACCTTTCCTTCATTTTTGATTTTCATGAATCCATGCGGTTGTTCGATGTAAACTTATTTGAGCACGCCATTCAAAAAGGATGACTTGATATCCATCTGATGTATTTTCCATTTGTATTGAGCAGTTTGAGATATGAGAAGTCGAATAGTCTCCATTTTCGCAATAGGTGTGAAGACTTCATCATAATCGATTCCTGCTTTCTGCCTGTATCCTTTCGCTACAATTCATGCCTTGTATCTTTCGATTTCACCTTGTGCATTTATCTTTTTCTTAAACACTCACCTTACACCAATTATTTAACTTCCTTTTGGTAACTCTGCTAGTTCCCAAGTATCATTGCGTTCGATGGCCTTGATTTCTTCATTCATAGCATCCTTCCAATTTTTGTTTCTTATTGCTTCTTAGAAACCGACATCTTCAGTGTCTACCAACAAACATACAAGATGCACTTCTTATGTGTTTGCATATGAGTCTTGTAAACTTTGCAACCTGGGTTGTGAGGGTCCTTCTTCATCATCAGAGTCTTTTGGACCCGTCGAAGTGTCTTTTGATATAGCATCTGGTACTTCGACCACAACTTCAGTTGAGTTGTTCCAGTCCCACTTGCTTTATTCGTTCACTCGAACATCTCTACTTACTATCACCTTTTTGTTTATTGGGTCGAAAATTCTGTAACCTTTTGTTTTCTCATCATACCCAATGAGTATGTATTTCTGACTCTTATCTTCCAGCTTTCTTCTTCTTTGATCAGGTACATGTGCATAAGCCACACTTTCAAATAATTTGAAGTGAGACACAGTTGGCTTTCGTCCGCTCCAAGCTTCTTGAGGTGTTAAATCTCCTAGCTTCGAATATGGACATCTGTTTTGAACGTAGATTGCATATTGTACAGCTTCTGCCCAAAACTCCTTCGACATGTTTTTTCTCTTCAGCATTGATCGAACCATGTCAAGGACTGTTCGATTCTTCCTTTCTGCCACACCATTTTGTTGAGGTGAGTATGCTGCAGTCAGAAATCTTCTTATGCCTTTCTCTTCACAGTAATTCATAAAGGCTGTCGAAGTATACTCCCCACCTCTGTCTGATCGAATGGCTTTGATGTGCTTGCCTATTGCTTTCTCCACCATTATCTTCAACTTCTTGAATACTTCAAAGGCTTCAGACTTTTCTTTCAGAAAGTACACCCAAGTTTTCCTTGAGAAATCATCAATAAAGGATATAAAATACTTTTTGCCACTGAAGGATTCTGGGGTAATTGATCCACATATGTCAGTGTGAATCAATTCCAGAATTTGTTTGGCCTGATATTCTGCCTTCGATTGGAATGAGATTCTCATCTGTTTTCCAAACACACATTCTTCACAGAATTTTCCTTCGAATTCCACGTCTGGCAGTCCATGCACCATATTTTTCTTTGCTAACCTCCTTAGTCCAGCTTGATGTAAATGACCAAGACGTAGATTCCACGGGGATGCTTGGTCTTTGACACTGACTTGCAAATACTTTTCTCGAATGCTTCTCAAATTCAACTTGTACATTCGATTTCTCCCTATTTCTACTTGAGCAACCAGACGTCCTGACTTGTCTTTTAAGTGCAAGCTTCGATCTTCCATGAGAATCGAATAGCCCTTTTCTGTGAGTTGTCCCAGGCATAAAATATTTTCTTTGAGGTTTGGTACATAATACACATCTTGGATAGATCCTATCAAATCGTCCTTCTGCAAGAAACTGGTTGTTCCTTTTCCTTCGACCCTTACTTTCGACGCATCTCCAAAGGAAACATCACCATCATCAATCTTCTTTATTTCTTTGAACAAGTGTTTATGACCACACATATGGTTGCTTGCTCTTGAGTCCAGGTACCACATAGTGACATTTCCTGCATCTGCTTCCTTTTGAGTCATTAACAGAAATCCTTCATTCGATTCTATTTCTAGGACAAGATTTGTTGTTTCTTCTACCTTTCTTCTGAGACGAAAATCCTTTGCAAGATGTCCCATTTTACCACAGTTGTAGCAACTGTAGGAGTTGCAATCTTTTGCATAGTGCCCCTGTTTGTTACATTTGTAACATTCGATATTGTTGTAATTCAATCTACCACCTCTCTGGCCATGTCCTCTGTCACGCAAGTTTTGTTGGCTTGACTGTCCTCTTTCGAAGTTGTTATTTTGGTAACTTCGACCACTATTACGTCCTCCACGACCATGTCCTCACCCACGCCAATTTTGAGAGAAAAGTTCCTTTTCGTCTCTGTTGGGTTCTGCATCCTCAAGTGTCTCCTCCTTCTTCTTTATTTTGCGTTGTTCATGTGCCTCAAGCGAACCAGCCACTTCTCCGACAGTGATTGTCAAAAGGTTCTTCGCTTCTTCTATTGTGCATACTATGTTTTTGAAATTATCTATCAAAGATCTCAGAATATTTTCGACAATACGAGCATCAGACATTTCTTCTCCATTTCGATTGAGTTTATTTGCCATCGTCTGCACACGAGTGATATAGTCTGATACGGACTTTGTCTCCTTCATCTTCATTCTCTCCATTTCTCCTCAGAGAGTCTGCAATCGAACTTGCTTGACTCTATCTTCTCCTTTGAAAGATTTTTCAAGTGTGTCCCACGCCTCCTTCGATGTAGTCGAACAAGCAATCTTTTCGAAAACTGATTCATCGACTGCTCTGAACAGCATGTACAATGCTGTTTTATCCTTTGCTCAGGTTTCTTTCAACGCCTTGTTCTGAGTAGTTGAGATTATCGTCGTATCTGATGGTTCTTCAAACCCATCGTTAGTTACTTCCCATACATCTAACGATCCCATCAGCGCCTTCATCTGGATACTCCAGTTCTCATAGTTCGACTTTGAAAGTCGTGGCAGTGGCATTTGACCCATCATATTTGTCATGCACTCTGATACCAATTTGAAGAAATTGAAGAGAAAATAAGAGTGGACTTTGAACTTCTTTCTTTTATATATATTGTCCAACTAACTTTTAAAATGAGATACAATGTGATTTATGTAGAGTCACATGATAGAATATTTAAAGTTACAGCATTTACTATGTCTAGGTCCCTAAGGAATAAACTTCTCACTTCCAAGAGAATCTGACTTTTAATTTACCCGAGACTAATTTGAATTTAACCAACAACTTCAATATGACGCGTTGCTGTTATATAGCAATTAGAAAATCTTGAACAAATAAAAGCCACAAATGAATAAGCTATAATATCCTAATAAAAGACCATGTACAACACACCTTTTAGTAAGTCTAATAAGAAACAAGAAAACCAAAGGGATACTCACATTGCACCACCTGCAGCTGGACCAATTATCTTGCATGCAGACATAGCAGTTATGCAAATGCCATTTGCTACACCTTTTTGGTGTTGATCCTATTTTCGAAATCAACATGCCATATATCTTATAGCAATTCTATTACAAAACTTTGTAAAAGCCAAAAAAATTATATAAAGATTAGAAATAAAATCATACCACTGCTTTATTTTGCAGAATGTATAAACCAGTGGAAATTACTTCCTAAATCCATCAAAAAGAATACAATCAAGCAAGTTTAACGAAGATAAAGTCTTCGAATAAAATTAAACCTTCCTTTCGTGTTTTAGCAAAGTCAACTCACAATCAAAAGATTCTTTAGAATAGCAGCACTATATATCGATATGTTCAACGTAAAGCCAGACAACATTGTCATGAAGGGGAAGCTTTGCAAGATTGGTATCGATAACACCTATAAATATTACGGTCAAGACATTATTTAAGAAATTAAACAAATAATGAAAAGACTATATTTTCAAGCTCAAATTTTATAAATTAAAAGACTATTTTTGACATATAGTAGCATAAACATGTATCATTGAAGTTAAAACTATTTGAGCTTTTTAACTTTAAGTGACATGTTAAAATTTTAATATCCAAAAAAATATTATAAAATTACAAACCTAAAATAATATTTTTAAAAACTATTAAAATTAATTGTTCATTTAAAGTTTTTATTTTGATTTGAAAAGTTATTTTAAAAAAATATGTAACACTTTAAAAAATCATTTAAAATAAAACTGAAGCAAACATGCTTAAGGGTTTTTATTGATGATACTTTCATATTGTTCCTAACAAACCATTTAAATGATAATGTTGTTTCTTCAACAATGGTTGATCTCCAAAGTCTTCCATGATTATACTTACCACAACACAGCCTCACTTTTTGTTTAATTTGTTTGCTCACAGCAATCTCTTTTTATATGCAAGAAACTAGCAACGTGTGGTCAAATAAAGATTACAATTTACAAAAAAAAAAATTTGTTTTAATCGGGAAGGAAAAAGTTATAATATATTTTGATTATCAAATCAAGAAGAAATGAAAATGATGGACGTAGAATATGTCACATATATGAAAATTGGAGTAAATGTGGCCACAGGTGACAACGTTAAACATTAAGTTAACTGGTCCATAGAGATCGATGTAACATTCTTAACTGGTCCATGGAGATGGATGTAGTAATTAGTAAATTCATTAATTGCAATTATTACGATTCCACCCGTGTATGACTCCAAACACCAGTGATACTGCTACAGTATATAATTGTTTTTTCTTCTTCTTAATATAGGACATAAAAATTCATATTTCTAATTTCTTATATATTAACTCTATTGAAGATAACTGTTGGAGGAGATACTAGGAGCATCGATACATAGTGTAGGAATAATCATCTTTGCGAGAGACACACTATTTATCCACCTAAAACTTTAAGGTGATAGGTGAGTGGGTTCTCCCACTTATATTACTTGTGAACGACTGTGATTCACTGACTATGTAAAATATTTTACACTGGCAGTGCATAACAATTATTCTCATAAGAATTTTAATTGACATTCAAATATTATTTGTCATTATGTGAAAAGAAACTAAATAATTTCACTAAATCCAATTGTTGAAAATTTGGGTTGGATCGGCCGGACGGACCGTTAGACCAAAAATCAAATGGTAGAAAGGTTCCCTAAGATCATATGACCTTAGTTGTAATTGAAACGATGAAAATTGACGTGATTCAGCCGATTTACCGATCAGACCAGCGGATCTTTTGGTTGATATTTTCATGTTTTTTTTTTAACTCGTAAAAACGACATCGTTTTGGGTGGAAAGTAAAAAAAATCAAAAAAAAAAAGAAAAAAAAATACTTATCCTCTCACACATTTAAAAATTCTATTGAAACCTATTAAATTATAGTGTTATAATTTGTTATGGACAGACCATAACAGTAATCGATTAACTAGAGGAAACAATGTCGTTGTATATGAAAATCAATTTTTGATTATGTGTTTTCCACAATTGCACATTCTCTCTTCGATCTCTCGATTTGAAACCTTTTTAATTTATCCGATCAGAAGTCTCTAAATCAAATATAAGATCTACTACGTTTGGCCTACTCAAGTAGCGAATGGACCGTAATTTCCTAAATTTCAAGGTTCTTAAATTCCTAAATTCTTGGCAATAGATGGATCTAAAGGTACTCATCCAACCTTCGTACACAATGCAGCTGCTATGCCGCATCCGCTGAAGTGGCGATAGCTCAACCACGTCCTCCTCAAGGCATTATAGATCAGTAATGGCGGATATGTCGATGCATCCTGATCTACTCCAACCTCCTCGGATTGCAAAATCTACTCCAGCGCCTCCAATCAAACTTCTAATACCACCCCCAACATCACAATCGAGAGCATTGCTAGATTTTCGACTATTGTGAGCCAATCTCGGGATACAAGGCTCCAGTGATTTATGGAACAATATGTATAACATCGTTTAGCAACATAATTCACATGCCATTCCAGAGACACTACTAAAAAAAAGTATATTTCGTAATGCCACCGCATTTTATTTCACCACGGCCAAAGGATTCACCGTGGTAGAATCTATTCAATTAGGCGTTTTCCTTTTATTTTCATTTTAAGCCCACTTTTTATCACAGTTGAAACTTCTAACTGTAGTGAAAAGTGGCGCATGGTCACGAGTTCAAATCTCGTTATTGTTGTTCTACTGTTGCATTTTTTATATATTATTAAAATAAATACAACAATGGTTGTTTAATACAATCGTTATTGTATGTAGCGCATGGTCATGAGTTCGAATCTTGTTGTTGTTGTCGTTGTTGTTCTATTGATGCATTTTTTTTATATTTTATTAAAATAAATGCAGTAGCGGTTGTTTAATATAATTGTTGTTGTATGTAGCTTGTTTATTGAGTTGTTTCACTGTCCTTGAACAAATCTTGATCGTCCACTTAGTAATTATCAACGCTCAAGACACTATCATTAGTGATCCGCGTGAAACATAAAACTTAGATGCACTTTCAACTTAGACGAACTTCATCTTCTACCTCCAAACATCATCTTTCATTTACGAAATACTATTTCTCAACTAAACCAAACTTGAAAATATCATTTCTTCTATAAAAAAAACTCTAAAACATCATATCTTTCATTAACAAATTTCAGAACTTCATCCTCTCTTCTCCAACTTGATTGAGACAAGTAAAGTATGGGTTCAAGTTAAAAATGTTAGTTGTTGTTATTCTTGTTGTTCTTTTTTTATATTATTTTTATTGTTCTTGTTGCTCATATTGTTGTTTTGTTGTTGTTTTGTTGTTGTTCTTGTTGTTCATATTGTTCTTTTTATTCTTGTTGTTCTTGTTTTTATTGTTATTGATATTGTTGTCTTCTTCTTATTTGTGTTGTTCATGTTGTTGTTGTTGTTATTGTTCTATTGCTGTATTTTTTTATTTTATTAAAAGGCAATCAACTGTGGTTGTTTAATACAATCATAGTTTTATGTAGCACGCTATATAATTTATAACAACAGTTACACGCCAGTTGTGGTAATCAACATACATACAATCACACGCTAACTAACAACAGACGTACTACTGTCATTATATGTGTTTCTCAACCGTTATTGTAGGTTTTTTTGTAGTAGTGAGAGGCTCCATCGTCTCAAAGAAATCCTCCACAATGCACCTCCGAGGAGGAACACCGTGCAAGAGGCCCTGTCGAAGAGTATTTAAGTCGCATGCCTTGATTCGACCGCGTCGTGAAGAGATAAAGCTCTGAAACCGCATAATCACAAGAAGGGCCAGACTCCTCCTTAGAGCTTCGAGGGAGATTGAGACAACCATGCTCTTACACATGATCAGGTAGAGAAACCATTGATAGAGAATCTACAAAAACATCTTCTATGCACTTGCATTATGGATAATAAAATATTGAAGTCATTTGAGAAGCCTCTAGAGCTAGGTGGATACAGTGGGAAAGGAGATCTTGACGAGCAAGTGCAACTTGTCAATAATCAGTTGATGTACTTCCACGTCGACGAGCTTCCAAGTGTAAATTATTTGCACTAAACTTTATTGGATTTCCCATACTATGGTTCAGTTCTCTACCAGACGGGAGTATCGAGTCCTAAACAGACCAGTGCAATAACATCTCCATTCACCTCACAACCTGGAAGAGGCATCCAGTGGTGGTATCATCCCTAATCAAGATTACTCAAGGAAGGAAGTACAATATACGGTCTCACATCAACCTTTTCATACAAGTGGTCATGTAAGTAGAAGGAGCCGAGGAGGGCCTCAAATGTTTGATATTCGAGAATGACATGCTTCAGATATCCCCTTTAGACCAAAGCTGAGAAGAAGAGATGTGCGTATGATAAAGAAACTACTAAACATGGCTAAATATTTCATCAACCTCAAATAAAAGTTGAACACCTAGTAAGATAACTTGATCGCCGCTGATGCCAATTCTAATTGCCCTACGAGGGAGGATTCTCATTGGCGAAAAGATGAATCCTATAGAGGAATGCATGGTCGGTACGATATAAGTACACTTATTTGAATGCATCACGAGAAAAAGATTTATCAAGAGTGTTCTAACAAAGTGTTTTGAGAGGGAGGATTCAAACAACCATTTCTCATTAGAGGGTCACCTCGTACGAACAAGACAAAATAATGTTGTTTCTATGTGTTGAACTTGAGACTTCACACAGAAGCGGAAAGAATAAATACGGAAAATAAAAGTTAAAAGAAAGAAGGAACACCAAGAATTATAGAGGTTAGGTTAAATAAAAAGGACATACTCTTCTTCCAAATAATTGATCTTAATGTTGGACTTGAGACTTCACACATAAGAGGGGGGTGAATTGTGTGGTTTAGAAAAACTTGGTTTTGAAAACTTTTGGCAAGTTAAGTCAGATTTTTAAAACATTTTTAAAAGTTTAAGCAGCGGAAAATAAATATTTAAGGTAAGAAGAAGAACACAAAGAATTATAGAAGTTTAGTCAAACCAAAAGGACATACTCCTCTCCCTAAGACTTGCTCTTTAGAGTTTCCAATAATACTTGAGAGCTTTTAGTAGGAAAGGCTCATGAACCCCCTTATAAAAAAATGGCGGTTGACATTCAACCAAATATTACAAGACGATATATATGGACGTTTGCGTCTTTTCTTCCATATAATGTTGAGAGTGAAATGGTTAATCTTCCTTCTCAGTGATGGACAGAAGCGGTGAGTCTCCTTTCTACGAACACGGACCTTGAAGCGGTTAATCTTTAAGTTCCAAATATATTTGAGCTCAATTCCTCTGGTTTGACAGGATAACCAAAAAACTTTTGAGATTTTAATCGGGTTGATGTTAACCAAGGAAGATTTTAATATCAGGTTAATCTACAATATATCTTGATTTTAATCAGGCTAACCAAGAACCAAGAAATATTTTAATAACGGCTAATCTTCAACCTAGGACTGATCACACAACCCCCAACCAAAGCATTTATCGTGTTTAGCTTCTAACCACAAATAATTCCTAATTGGACATTATTCAACTAAGGTATATATAAATGATATCCTTGGTAAACTTTTACAATTCTACCCTTTCCAAAATTACACAAATAACCTCACTCACAAAGAGATTTTCCTTACAAAAGCATTTTGCTATAAAATCTTATGAGAGAAACTTAACATGAAAACTTAGACAGAGATAATGTGTGTGAGATAAGGTAGTGTCAAAACACGATTCTGGATGGTTTGAAATGAGAAAAAGATCATCTATTTATAGGCAAGTGGTGTACCCAAAACAAAATTTGCAATCAATGAATTTTATTGTTGCCTAATCGATTAGCATTAATTCTAATAGATTAGATTTTGAAAAATAATCGATTTTAAGTACTTTAAAAGAAAACAAAATATATCTAGCAGGTCCACATCATTAAAGTTCTATCTAAATGGCTTGTGTGTAAGTTTAAACTAAACTAATTGATTATACCAAAGACCTAACCAATTAGATAAGTTAAATATTTCTCTCTAGCTATTTCCACAACTTCAAAGTCATATGGCACATTTCCACAACTCCTAATTTATAACCTTACGATTTTATAGAAAATCTATTTGCTTACATAAGTTCACTCACTTATTAAATCAGAAGATTAAACTCTTTTCCTTCGAGCCATTTGTCAGACACTATCTTTATGTCGAGCACATGATCCCTCTCTTAAGGATAAGATGATTGAACCACTAGGCTACAACTTTCATTGTGATTAAGAAATCTTCCAATTATATTTACATTCAACTCCATCATCCTCCTGTAACATTCCAAAATCCCAAGCAACTCTTCCAAATCTCCCACTTCACAAAACCCATGTAGCATCACATTCCAAACAACCAAGTTTCTTTCAAATAACTAATCAAATAGTTCCACTACAACCCCACTTATCTTAAACTCGTAAAACCCAACAAGTGCACCACCAACAAACACATTATTCAAAAATTCAAACTTTACAACTTTGTAATGAATCTGAGAACCTTCTATTGAAAACCCAACATTGGTGCAAAGAGCTATAACAGAAACAAAAGTAGTTGAGGTTTCTCTTATTCCGAACAAACCCATTTGGGTATAGAGATGAAAAGCTTTATTGGGTGGAAAACAAGAGGATGAAATTAGCAAGTTGGAAGTGGTGGGGTCACGGATTTGCATGTTGTGGAACAATTCAAGTGCTGTGTTTGGTTTTCTTATGTTATGAGAGCGTTGATTTGGTGATTCTTGATCTAGGTG